AGGGTGAGGTTGGCCATGAGGAAAAGGTTCTTGAGGCAGAGGGTGGTGGAGCACTGGCACAGGCTCCCCAGGGAGGTGCTCATGGCACCAAGCCTGACAAGATTCCAGCAGCATTTGGCCACCATGTGCCCTCAGGGACATGGTGTGAATGTTGGGCTTGTCCTGTGCAGGGACAGGAGTTGGACTCCATCATCCTTGTGGGTCCCTTCCAGCTCACAACATTCTGGGATTCTAAGTTCTTTAACCCAAGTCTTATCAGCACAGCTCCCTGAAGAGACCACAGGAAGGAGAGGAACAATCACGTCTCTTTCTCTGCCCTACAGAATAAACACACTCTGTTCACTGGCTGCTGCCAGAGTGGGACAAGCAGAAGTGTCACTTGTCCCTCTCAAGCCTCCCTCCCTCAGCACATCAACCTTTAGAGCTCTACAGGGACTGGCATTCCCTTCTGGCCCAAGCCAGAGTGCTACAGGGAGACCAGCAGCCCAGGAGCTGCTCAGAGCTAAGCCACCCCTCTGGGAGTGACCCCGGCCGGCTGTGACTCACACGAGCTCTGACAGCACTCACCATTCTGATGATGTAGTTGTGGAGCTGCTGGCTGATGTAGTTCACGGTGGTGCTGAAGACACGCTGGAGAAGGGAAGGCATTGTATTCGCAATTCTTTTAGTCAAGACCATTGCTAGCACCAACATGGCCTTCTCCTGCTCCATGTCTGAGGGGATGGCTCGTGCAAGCGCTTCCACCGCCTTTGACATGCGCCGGGTCATCTCCTGTAGGGAAGGGAGAGAGGGATCTCAGTTATCTCCTGTAAGGAAGGGAGAGAGGGATCTCGGTTATCTCCTGTAGGGAAGGGAGAGAGGGATCTCAGTTATCTCCTGTAAGGAAGGGAGAGAGGGATCTCGGTTATCTCCTGTAGGGAAGGGAGAGAGGGATCTCAGTCATCTCCTGTATGGAAGGGAGAGAGGGATCTCAGTCATCTCCTGTAAGGAAGGGAGAGAGGGATCTCAGTTATCTCCTGTATGGAAGGGAGAGAGGGATCTCAGTCATCTCCTGTAGGGAAGGGAGAGAGGGATGTCAGTGCAACAGCTGTGGGAGGAAGGGGTCTCAAGCAGAGCCTGCTGGTACCTGATGTGCCTGTTCTAACACCTCAGGGGATGCTGCTCCCATTACACACCCTGGATGGCAAGAAGAATGACTATCTCTGAGCTCAGCTGCTCACCCAAGACAAAAAGAAAGGAATACAACACACACACCACTGCAAAATTCACCTTACACACTCGGGGTGCAACAGCCCCCCTCTTCCCCAGGGTTTGCACCCTGCTTGCCAAGTCCTGAAATGGCACAGGAATCCTGGGGCTCCCAGGAGAGGGCAACCCACCTTAAACACTGTGAAGATCAGGGGTACCAGCTTAGGTGAGGACTGGCAAGAAGGGCAAGTTTCACAGGAAAGCATTCACATAGGCAGGAACTAGAGAAGGTGTCCAGGCATGGAACACTGCCTTGCTCCCAAGATCAGTGGAAGATCAGCTTCCCCAAGAAGGACAATAAGCATATGCACACACTAAGCTACACTACTCATGTGAAGCAGCAACATCCACCTGGTCAGAAGTTCGGTTTATCTCAGCCCCACTAAAAGCTGAAAGGTTAGGCAATAGATTTGAAGGCCTGAAACTTAACTGGGTGGAGAGCAAGACAGAAGGAGTGGGAAACTGTCAGACTTTGCTGGAATCGAATCACTCTGTGCAGGTGATAAATCCTAGTGAAAAAAATCCAGACCACAAAACCCCCCCCAAAAAAAGCTTGTTTGAAGTTATTAAATCCTGCCTGTTCAGCAAGAAGGTGGACCTCAATTCAAAGACAGCATTAGCTTGTAGAAAGCCAAACAAGCCAGAAAGCCACAGCTACCCTGAAGAAGCCAAAAAAGGCTCCGTGTAAGCAAACTGCGGCTCTTGATCCAGAGTGGATCCAAATCTGAAACAGAAAAACAAAACAAAACAACAAAAAAAGGGAAGGTCTAACACAAAGGGCCTCAAACTCAACCTCCTTGTAGAACACTGAGCCACATTAGATGCTGGGCCAGGCTGGGAGAGTGACTCCATCAAAGAGGTGGAGATGCCACCTAGAGGGACCTTCTCAGCACTTCACCCATCCAGGCCAGGACCCAACTGCTCCTCCCAACACGGACAGAGCCTGAGAGATAAACAGTCCCAGCACTCCAACAGGGAGGGTCTCACTATTCACTGTCTCTTCCTTGTTCAGTCACAAGCACAAATGAAGCTTCTGGCACTAATGTTGCTCAGGTTCTGCCCACATGACGAGCAGCAGGCAGACAGGACTCGGCACCAAAGTCCAAAGATCTCAAGGACAAATACTAAGCCTTAAACCAACAGTTGTTTTTCAAAGATAAGACATTGGGCCAACAAAATGAGGACAAAATGCCTCTCAAAGTCAGTCCTTCTCCACAACCACCTCAATTTCACCATCTGCAGAAAGGAGATGAACCCAAGGAACCCAATCTGCAGGGCAACAGTTGCCACAGGGTACGGCATCACCTCTGCCAAATCTTCATAGGTGAGTGTTTGGGCTGAATTTTAAGATGACAATAATTAAATCAGCAAACTAGCAACGATGCAGAACCTGGCTGCTTCAAAGTCCCAGCAGGAAGGATCCACAACCCTGAAGAGGTGAACTGCTGGTCAGGTTGCTCTTCACTCACCTCGCTAGAAAGGTTCTCGTTCAGAAAGTGCTGCACGAGATCGTTCACTTCTCTCGCTCTGATTTCCTTATCGAACTGGTCTCCAACCTCAGCGAGCTGCGCAGCGATGTTCCGGATAACTTCTTCATTTACCTCGTGGTCAAACACTGTCAACACACACAGCAGGATTTAGCCCCCAGACTCGGTTCAGCGCAGGTAAGCTGACCCACAGCATCTTGCCCACCTCCATCTCCTTGCCACCCCACCCCTAATCACAGCTCGGCTACACGCACTACCACTCCCTCCTCTGCACTCAACTTCTTTACCAGAGACAGTGTGCAAACAGGATTTTTTAATCTGTAATTTAGGTAAAGTGCAGCCTCACCCTGACCCTCAAAAACCCTACAGGGGAGGTTAGAACATCTCCAACCAAAATTAGTACAGGACAGCTACAGCCAACACTCTGCCTAGACAGAGGGAAGCAAGTGTCCATGATTTTTTAAGTGACTACTGTCAGGACCTGTCTCTTAAGTACCATCTAAAATAGAGCATCTCATAGAACCACAGACTGGTTTGGGTTGGAAGGGACCTTCAAAGCCATCTAGTCCAACTCCCCTGCAGTGAGCAGGGACATCTTCAACCAGATCAGGTTGTTCAGAGCCTCATCCAACCTGACCCTGAATGTTTCCAGGGATGGGACATCTACCACCTCTCTGGCCAACCAGGGCCAGGGTTTCATCACCCTCAGTGTAAAAAATTTCTTCTTTATATCCAGTCTAAATCTCTCCTCTTTTAGTTTAAAACCATCACCCCTTGTCCTATCTCCTTCTGGCAAAGCTTCCCATTGTCACTTGGGGCATGAGACCTATGCAGGTTTGTACTGTAGCAGTTCCTCCTCACCCTCCTTAGGTTGAGGTCAATGTGCCAGCTGACACGTCCTGGGCAAGGAGCAGCAATAGCCATCCTGCAGATGGCTAATGAAACAGGAACTACACCAGAAACTGGTTGAGGAACAGCTTCCAGCACAATGGTAGGGCAGAAAGGGACTCACCCAGTACCAGAACAAGAGTTGTTCCAAAATCCTAGCCCAAGTACTCCCTGAGGAGCAGTGTGAGGCTGAACTTCACTGCTTAATATCACACCCCTTGAGGGCAGCTATCATTAGTCCTGGCTTTGTCACCCTTGTCTGATGTGCTGCAGACAAAACCGCGGGGAGATGGGTGCTCTAGACATCCATGGGGAGATAAAATGCTAAAGCACTAGCTGTCTTGTCCCACACGTTAAAATCCCAACCGACACCACCACCAACAGCCACGTTGTGAAGTTCCTCAATGGAAAAAAACCATGACTCCTCTGAAACAGATCAGCAGCAAAGATGGGGAAAGGGGAAAGAAACCCACCACCCTCAGAGAGGCAGGTAGGAAGGAAGAGAGGGCTCACCTGGCTCGCCGTTCTGCAAGTGGCCGCTCCGATTGCCATCCGTCTGAAGTTCCAGCTCATCCTCGTAGCAGTAGGTGCCTTTCAGGGAAGACACAAGCCCCTGGCTTTGCAGGGACTGCAGTTGCTCTCTGAACTGACAGTCAGAGGATACGTCCAAGAAGGTGTAGAGCAGCGCACTCTCCATCTGGACAGATCCATTGATCTTAAACATCAGAAAATAACCGTTAAGTCCCACTCAAGAGGTCTGTGTATATGCTGTTTTCTAACCCTGAACACATTTTTCTGGCCTCCTTTGGGAATCTTGAATCACGTTAGCCAGGGAGTCCACAGCACATGCATACTGGCTCCTGGACGTGCACCCACACAGGACTGTCTGATGGTGAATGACAGATGGCTCTGTTCTTCCAAACCTGCGGTGGAAGAGTCAGTGCACCTTCTCCACAGCGTGTTTCCAGCTGTGGCAATCACAGAAACCCTCATCAGAGCTCCTCTTTTGAAACAGATGTGTACTCAGCACAAACCCCCCCACTTTCCCCTATTCAGACATCTGCTTTTGGAAGGTTTGTACCCCTGTATTTTGGAATTGGGCATTTCACTTCCTGTGCCTAAAGAAGGCAGCAGCTCCCAAGTTCAATGTAATCAGAGCGCAGCAGTAACACGGTGGGGAACAGAGATAACAGCATAAGCCTTACAAAAAACCACGAGGTTCACATTTCTTTTCCCTCTTCAAAGGGATGGAGACCAGCTCCACAATAAACCTGTTCAGCTCCCTGCAGAGAGCCAAGCAGCTGCTCACAAGACTAGTGACAGCAAGATGGCAGATCACTGGTGTCTGGTGTTCACCCCCAGTGACCAGGCCCGTGCTGCCTCCAGGGCCACACACCCTGCTGCCTTCAAGCAAGGCAGCACAAATTAGGAGGAGGAAGTCCATGAGGCAGGCAGATTGCTCTGAGCAAGAGGTTCCACTGAAACATGGGGCCTCACAACCAATTAAGGCCTCTGTAGAAAACCTGTCCAATCATTTTAGTTAAGCAGGTAAGAGAGCAGGATGTTGTGTAAACAGAGAAATGAAGTGAGAAAGAAAATCCTTCCTCTGGTAAGCAGACTGTCTGCCTGTAAGATAAAAAAATGCTTAATTGTAACTAAGAAGAAAAATCAAAGCCATAGTAGAATGGTTTGTCTTGCCAGCTGCCTAGGGTAATCAATATGCAACCAGATGAACTTGATAACTGAAAGGGAGTTTCAGGTCCTTTTGGTGAGTGGAACCTTGGAAGGCCACCTATATCTCCATCACCGTAGCAGTAATGTCATACAGGACCCACATTGCCTAGGCAACAGTAGCAAAATTGGGACAAATGCCTAAGAAGTAACTGGGGACAGGTTGTTCACTTGAGAGAAGATCTGGGAAATGAAAGGGAGGAACAAAAGCCAACAAAAAAGATAGTCCAGAAATGGAAATGTACAGAAAATAAGGTATATGATCAAAGATCAACAGAAGGCATGACCTGAGGGTGGATGTTTACAGACAGCAGCAAAGCTCACCTGGTGATCCCCAAGCTCCCTGGGACACCAGGGACAATCCCCTTAAACAACCCACTGGACTAGTCATCAGGTTTATGTTCAAAAGGCTTGTGGGAGGCCAGAGCAGAGCCAAGAGGGTTAGAACTGTACCTCAACAGGAGGTGGGGCGAGGAGGATGACAGACATCTCAGTAGCAGCTCTGTGTAGTTAATAAAGATTTAAATGTGACAAATAGTAGCTTCATAATTGTGTTCAGTCTTGCACAAACAATGCATAAACTGATCGCAGAGGTGTGTCTGTTAATTTGATTTATTAGTTTTGGTAGTTTGTAGCTTAACCAATAAGTTTTGTGGTCTCTTAAGCAGCTACAAACCCAGTCAGCAGTTTAAAGGAGGAGCGTCACAACAAGGAAACAGACTGCAAACCAAGCAGCTCTATCCTCTTGTCTGGATTCAGAGCAGCAGCAGGGCCCTACAGGAACTCAGGGGAAGACAAGAAGGACAAGAACCAGCATTTTTTGAGACTCAACCCCTTTGAGGTACCTTGGAAGAAGTGCACAAAGAGAACCACTGGTCACTATGAACCACTGAGTTCAGTCGCATTTGAATCTAACCTGTTCCATGATGGATTCAAAGACAGAGCAGCTCTTCTCACCCTCTGCTTCAGACCAGAAGTCCTTGCCCTGAAAAAGAGTAAGAAAGAAAAGAGTGAAAAGAAGAAATTCCCATAAAACCACATCTTGCAGCAGGACTCATGAGTCTGGGCATGTCTTGTAGAAAATGACCTTCCTAGTGACACATTCCTGTCTCTGGAGAAGGCTGCCCATCACACACTGGCAGTCATCAAAAAAACACCCCACTGAGAAAACCACAACTGTCCCAGCAAGAAGGGCCTTATCCACATGAATGACGGGCATGAAACTCCTTCCTGCCACAGATGTGTGAAGACAGTGGAGAGACATGACCTACAAACAGAGCTTTAAAGCCAAGAGGTGGTGCTGGGGAAGGGAGGGACAACCCTTCATAGTGCCAGAGGCTGGATGGTGAGCAGTGTTATCACAGAGGAGTTCCTGAGCACCTACTGAGAGCAGGGGAGCTGCTCAGGTCTCTGCAAAGCAGCAGCATGTTCTGAAGTGAAACACCCAGCTGACATTGCAACACATCTGCAGGACTTCCAAACACACCTCCACCCACCCTCCCTGCAGAGATACAGGTGTATACACAGGCTTGTCTCAATACCTTCCTAATAAACACCTGGGGTCAGGGAAGGTTGGACCAAGTGTCATCAAAGGCTACACGAGCACCACTCTGCTAAGCCTCCAGGGGAGCCTTCTAGGGAGGAGACCCAGGCCACAAGCTCCTCTGCCTGCAGGGTGCACACTCAGGGCTGACAACCCTGAGCCTGGGAAATGCCCAAGGGAAGAGGCGTGCAGGGAGGGCAGAGCATGGTGTGGAGGGTGGCCTCCCTCACCCACCAAAAAGGGGAGCAGGTAGGAGCACACCTTCTCATCCTCCCAGGTGTAGCTGATGGGTGGGTCAGAGCAGCAGCCCAAGCAGTCACATTTGGTGCAGGAAGTCGCAGAGCAAGAAAGGCTGGAGAGCAGCAGAGCAAGTGGCAATGACACAAGACTACCCAGCAAATGCCAAGGCAGGGAAGATGGGAATCCTGCTTGTGAACCCTGCGTTTGTTGCTCTGGGTGCAACAGTCCTACAACTGCACACAGAAGTCTCTGGTGCAAGCTGGCTTCAACTCTCAGAATCACTGAATCATAGAATGCTGTGAGCTGGAAGGGACCCACAAGGACCATGGAGTCCAACTCCTGTCCCTGCACAGGACAAGCCCAACATTCACACCATGTCCCTGAGGGCACATGTTGGCCAAATGCTGCTGGAATCTTGTCAGGCTTGGTGCCATGAGCACCTCCCTGGGGAGCCTGTGCCAGTGCTCCACCACCCTCTGCCTCAAGAACCTTTTCCTCATGGCCAACCTCACCCTCCCCTGCCACATCTTCCTGCCATTCCCTCTGCTCCTGGCATTCGTTGGTGGCCAGAGAGAAGAGATCAGCACCTGCCCCTCCTCTGCCCCTTGGGAGGAAGTTCTAGACCCCCATGAGATCTCCTCTCAGTCTCCTCTTCTCCAGGCTGAACAAGCCAAGTGACTTCAGCCTCTCCTCACACCCTTCCCCAATGTTGTGTCCCTAATGATGAGCAGGGCCTGGCTGAAAGTGAGCACTATCTTCCCACCAGGCCTTCTGCACTCAGGGCAATAATACGGCTGCTGCACAGGTTCTTCTGACCAAAAATGGGGTGAGAGCATCAAGGAGCCCAAAGAGATGGCCTGCTAACCATCAAGGACCTGGGCTAGGGATGAATGATCCCATTTCATAGTAACAACCCCTCACAACTGTGTTTTAAATAACTAAATGTGCTGTTGGAAAAGAGAGAGGAAGTGAAAGCAGAAATTAATTCAAATTCTGAAGGAAATCACAGTAATAATTTCAAGAGAACGTGAATGTCCCAACTTTTCCAAGGCTCTTAGAAATCCCCAAGACGAAAACACAATCTCAAGTACGTCTAAAACACACAACAGCCCACAGGCAGCTCTAAACCATGAGCTCCTTTTTGTCATTTAGCTGTTTCATCAGACTAATAACTCCCTAAACACAGGCTTAGCCTTTGCTGCTTTGCATTTTTCTCTATTCCATTCAAATCTCTATTGCTGCTACTCACCTCTACCCTCAGGAGTGTGCTGGCTGTTGAGAACGCAGTCCTCTCTGTCCTCTTCTCTGGGATGTGATGGGGCTCTGGAATAGGTCAGGGTGACCCTTGTCCTGAGCTCGACTTGGCTGAAGGAGAGACAGATGTTAATTCAGGTTGGAGAACTTGAGGAAGAACCCTTGAGATTAAGAGGGAAGTTGGGATTTAGCATGAAGCCCGTGGCAGGACCTTGGCTTTGTGCAAACTCCTCAGAAGCTGTCCACACCAGTGACACTCCTGTAGGTTAGGCAAAGCCTCCGTTTGCACATGATTTGGTTTTATACTTAACATTTATTTTCAATTCAAAGTAATTCAGCCCAAAACTGAGATGTTCATGTTACAACTTGATACCTCCTGCTACTAACTCCTGCTGAGTTCAACCCCACTTCCTGAACCAGCACAGCTTAGACCATAGGAAGCCTGAAGTAGTATTGAACCTCTGCTGCCCACAGCCCACTTTGCCTTGAAACCCACGTTCACCACAGTGACCTTCTCAGACTCCACCAGTATTGCCATCCCCACCCAGCTCTAACTAACCTATGTCAAAAGCTTCCTGTGGGACCACAGCATTACTCTACAGCTGGTCAGGTTAACCCATGCTGGCTAGTTTGGGTTGGTAATAACCAGCTGAGTTCGTAAGGCGGGTACAGGCTGAACAAACCTCCTCGTCTTTCAAGGTGCAAGAATCTGCACCATTCTCCACCTCCACCACACCACACTGGTGGAGGGGCAGATGTTCTCCCACACTTCTGGCAGAACTGTGATGCAGCACGAGCCACCACAGCTGCAAGTTGCCCACAAGTGACCAGATGTGCTGGTGAAACTAACTGAGTAGCACCCCAGAAATTTCTTACTCGCAAATAACTTTACAGCAAAAGCTTCTTCCACCCAAACCCACCCAAACTGTGCTAGGATGACCTACTTTTTCCTCATTTGTTAGAATTCCAATAAATTGCTGGAGGGCAAGATGAACACACTCAAGTGGTGATAAACAGACTAAATAAAGCATCAACCTGCTGAGGGACCAACGTCATCTTTCGTACAGCCAAGAGGATGGAACAGCAATAGAAGTCAAGACACTTCCTTTTGGTTTTTGGGGGGGGGGGGTTGCCACCTGTCACATTTTCCAAGGGAAGCTCAGAATGTGGCTTTAAAACCCAAATTCCCTACTTTTTTCCTTTTTTTTATCCCCCACAGTATTTCAAACTATCAGGAAACTCATTTAGTTCAGTCCAAACCCTCACAAAAGAGGCAACCAAAACCAAAGGCTTGGTGCCATGAGCACCTCCCTGGGGAGCCTGTGCCAGTGCTCCACCACCCTCTGCCTCAAGAACCTTCTCCTCATGGCCAACCTCACCCTCCCCTGACACATCTTCCTGCCATTTCCTCTGCTCCTGGCATTCGTTGGTGGCCAGAGAGAAGAGATCAGCGCCTGCCCCTCCTCTTCCCCTCGGGAGGAAGCTGCAGAACTTGAGCCTCTGCCTGTGCACATCCCTCACATCAGTTCCTGGAAATGTGCAGGAAAGGGGCCTGTCTGCATCTCCACAGCCCCAAATACTGGGTTTTGACAGCACATCTGCTTTTCAAAAAGAGGCAGAAGGTCACACACTGGTTATGGCAGAAAGGGGCTGAGCAGCCCCTGCCCTGCCAGGGGACCTGCTGCACCCACCGGTGTGAATGGGTGTGCAGGGGAAAGAGACCTACAAACCTGGGGCTCCTCCTTCCCCTCAGGGGATCATCTCAGCTCTCTGTGAAGTTAGACACTCCTCAGGGCAAGTCCACAGAAAAAGAGACATTAAAAAATACAAAAAAATCACACAGCACAGTTGGAAATTGCAAGTTTTGTCCCCTCCTGCACATAAGCAGAGATACAAACTGCCAGAAAGGAAAAAAAAAGAGATAAAGAGAAAAAACACCACACTCCAAAGTATTTACATGGTAAAAAATTGAGACAAGGAGGCTTAAAGATTCTAATTTTGTGAACTGAATTTCCTGAATCAAAGAATCACCACCCAGGCAGTCAAAAATCCCTGAGGGGTTCCAGCTCTCAGCTAATAAAATTCTGCTTGGGTGGTCAGAAACATACCTGAGAACAGGAAGAAGGATTTCTCTCACACCACAGAAGGGCTCCCTGCTCCCACAATCCAGGGCCAAACCTCACGTTTTAGATAATTAGTTGGAATCAATGCAAGGGGTTTGGATACTCACAAAGTTCCTCCTGAGAAGTCAAATTCATGAATGGAATCTCATAAAAAGTAGACCCCTAAAGAGCAAACCCCAAACAGTCAAATGGAATCATGATCATTCATCACCTGAAGTTTTTAATCTTTAAGATTTTGGAATGTTGGTAGTTTTAGATTCAGATTAAGACATTTTCTGGTGGATGGAAAAAGTTCTCTTATCTTGGGTAAAAAGAATCTTTAGTCGGAGAATGAGAAAAGATGGAGACAAAGGCTATAAACACCGTCTGCATTCAGATTCAGAGTGAAACCAGATCATTTGCTAACGCTGCTTTAGGGCTGTTTAAAGCCTTGGGATTAATTTTATGGAGTATGATTTTTTAAAAATCAAAATACCAATTAATTTTAATACATTATTCCTTTTCACACTTTCAGTTCACTCCTTAGACAAGCGAGCTTCATGTGTCAACAACTGCCTCTGAGAAACTGCTAGATGCCTTGAAGTGTTCAACACATAAGAGTACAGCCAGGTTTTTGGATCAGTTCTTTTCATCTTTCTTAGGAAAAAAAAAAATGGAGAGGGTTATTTTAAACACAAGTTTAGGACCTTTAAATCAGTTCTGAAGAGTCAGTGTGGGGCATGTCCATTTCAACTCAACATTGTGTTGGGATGCAAGACTGTGAGGAGGAATATGTTAAGTAATCAAAATTCCAGAGGAACACATCCACCAGCTGATCGTCAGCGC